CAAATTTGGAGTTGTCATTTGTAATTTTTGAACATGTAAGTCACTACATCGTCTCTGCATGTGAGATTGAACCCTCGCGCGCATTGTGGAATCATGGGTAAATTGGGGTCTGGTAAAAGTGCCGCGGCAGGCGCGGCACTGACGCGCATTGACGCGGCAGTGACGCGCTGTGACGCGGCGTGACGCGCGATTGACGCGGCACCCGGCGCGCTGCCTCCTACAAATCACACATTGCTTCGTTGACCCTCAAACCTATGCAAACAATGTTTACCAGCCTAAATTCATCATTTGAGGCCAAAAAACCCAGACCCAAATTTGGATCTTTCAACACTAGTTAGCGCTAATTAGTGATGGTTGTTTTTGCCTGTATGCCCCTGCATCACCCCAACTGCCAAAGCTGACGCGTTTTGGTCATTTTTCTCCGCTCTACTTATATCTCCCTCTAGCTAGAAATATTGAGCATAAGTTGGTCCAGTAATGAAATTGATGTTGGAAGGTAATTTCATTCTATTCACCACCCCGCATGAAGCTTAGTTATCACAAATGAATCTGGTTTAACACAGCATGACAGAGGAATTCTTTGGCGGGAAAGGTACCTAGTAGTCACTGCAGTATGCCTACTTCCTAGGTGATTCCAGCTCGACATCCAACGAGAGATGCTGAATGATTTCGTGCGGTCCACTTGGCACTTCAAATTTCAAATGCCGCGTTGGGAATTGAACCTGCGACCACTGTTTTTGGTATTTCCAAATTGAGAACCACACAAAAAAAATCAAGTTATTCTCATTACTTTCAGGATCGGCTGTAACAATTTGAGAGAAAATGTGACCATGCCTCTCAAGTCTCCGTTTAGTTTTTACCTGTTTAGATTTAACTAACAGCAAGGGAGAAAACCGTAATTCAATTGATATCTGAAGCCCCCGAGCCAGGCAGCGGGATGTGGATGAATGGTGATTACAGAGGCACATACCTTCAAGTCAGAATGATTGTTGGCACTCAAATCTGTTGAAATATTTGTGAACGCTGAGAGCATTTTGGATCAAAACACATTCAATATCCTCGGGGACACTCTGCATCGTGGATCTGATCTTCACCACATTTTCATGTATGAATCCAACCTCGGTATTGAACCAGGATCCCGCAGGGAGGATATCATTGAACATATACAGGTATCATCGCCTCGATTGGACTTGAACATATCTAGTGCTGAATTTCCAACTCCAGACATCGTTCCAACCCAGATCTGTTTGGTCTTTGTTGCAATGAATGTCCAGTTTTTAGGGATCCAAATTGCTCAATGTATAGTTCCTTCAAATTAGTGTGGATTATTGCTCTGGTGCCCACTTTGACCTGCAGCACCATATGCCCGTTATATTGGATTATAACTCTGTTTGACAGATCCACGAATAACCCATGATTTTTGAACTATGGCAAGTTATGCAGATTTTCAGTTATTCAGATTCGTTTGCCATGTTTGCGATCTATGGAAATTATGGTCTATGTTTCAGTGTTCACTGGTGAGTCTTCCAACATTTATTGGAAGCAAAGTGCATCCTATAGGGAGTGAACTACAAATCATGTCTATAGATATGCATAAATGCTCAATCTTGGCCTGGAACAATTCATTTGCACATGAAATCATCAATGAGCATGAGATAATGGAGGGCAGGGTGAAAGTGACGCCTTGACGCCCAAACTGCCGCCAAACTGCCGCCACCTGATACGATTAACGCCAACTTGCTGGGAAGTCGGCGTCAGTTTTGTCACACTGCCGCCATGTCACGCAATATTTTGCCGCCCTCAACTGTTGCCAGTGCAAACCGATGTAGCACCTTACAACCTTATATATACCCCTATGTCGCTGATTAATGATAAATACAGTACAGCTCCCCGACTCTACCAATAGGATACTAACTGGGCCCAAGTTTATCTTTGATCCGGTGGCTTCTGCGCACATTTGGGGGAGTGGGTTTAGGATCCCATTTGCTCGCGCTCTTGCATGGTTTCTAGGGTTAATTCTCACCGAGATCTACTTCTCGAAGCGTCCTCTTCTTCTGTGGACGAGTTGGAGGCCGATCCGTCACCGAACGGATTATTCGCCCGTTGTGTTGAATGTGCGGCTCTCCACGACGGCAGAAAAACAACAGTGTTGGAGCCTTCATAGACCGCCAGATAAATTATGGAACATTGGATACCAATCAATGAAGTCCTTGGTATTGCCGGAATTGCGAAATATTGCCTGGGTGCTGAAATATGGTGAGGATTCTGATAGCATTTGTGTCGGTCAGACAACAAATGGTTTCTATAGTAGATCCTAAGAACGGTGGTCTCAGGGCTTCCATGTAAAGTAGTGAGGGTCTCTGAACATTGAAGTAAGCAACTAACTTATTATCCCCACGAAATAGGGCCTGGTTTCTCGCTCAACAATAATAATCAATTTATATGCGTGAGCTTGCGAATGGTAAAGACTGAGGTAAATGTCAAGCGACATTTGGAAGGTGTAATTCCTCAGTTATTCTGTGGGGGGCACAAAGGAAAGACCGACGCCGACTGGCGCGAATATGGTTCACAACTGACGCCAACCTGTCACACTGCTGCCATGTCCATTGAATTGACGCCAAAGATTGACGCCGTTGAAATTTGATTGACGCCAAGTGCCACTGGATTGACGCCGGCAAACTGAAATGACGCCGCACGATTGACGCCCTGCCGCTTGATTAACGCCATGCCGCCGCCGTCCTACCAGAATTACCAACTTGGAGACCATCAAGTAGCTCAAAATATGCTGTTGAATTGACACCGTGCGTTGTATAATATGTATCTAGTGGCGAGAAGTACTGGGAAGGCTTGACTACATGGGTGCTATGCTGCTGATCAGGCGACTGACGCCAACTTGCCGCCGGATTGACCCCAACTGCCGCCCGGGCGTCAAGGCGCCACTTTCACTTTGCCCGATAATGGATTCTCAAACATGAATTAGTCGGAGACAAGTAAGGCAGAACTTGTCTAGGTAACGCGGCTTTGACGCGGCAGTGGCTGTGTTGACGCGGCGTTGACGCGCACCGGCGCGGTACTGACGCGCAATGACGCGGCACCGGCGCGCATCGACGCAGCGGGTGACGCGGCAACAGCGCGGCTACCACCTGGTTGCGAGATCATCTTAGACGTCCAAACGAGTGTTGGAACATATTTTTTTCATGTTTAAAATGGTTTATAGGACAATATGGACAGAGCAATTGTCAAATCATCTAATAATTCTACCTGAACACCTATATCTATGCCTAAAAATTCTTTGTTGGTTCCCTAGAATCTTCCTGAAACGTTATAAACGTGATTTATGCATAGTAGATGCCTAAAAAAACAGCAGCGGTAAGTTCAAAAAGATGTCGCGTCATGCCGCGCCGGTCCGCGTCAATGCCGCGTCAGTGCGCGCCTGGCGCGTCATTTTCTCCGGACCGGGTAAATTGCCAACGTGTCGGCCATTAGAGTCCTTAGTGCAAGTAAGGATTCCTTACATATACATACGTGGCCGGACGGGGGATGTACGTGGGGTGAGGAAGATGCATAGTTCCTGATGTAGGCAAGGTGAAAGTAGATCGTGTTCAACCCGAGTCTCGTCCCAGTCTGAGCCTTCACGTGCGGTAAATTCTGGAAATTCTGGAACGATCTCCAACAGCTTTTGAACACAATAGGCTCACACCGGACTCGCGGTGAAAAATCAAAATAACTTGAAACACCCCATCAATACACCGGCAACGTCCGAACCACCGCATGGCGCAGGCAAATACGTGCACACACATTCTTTCTCGGCGACTCCGTTCTCCTCTGCACCAACTCTGCGCAAGTCCTCTGAGTGCAATCTCTTTTGGCCGATATTCTCACCTGCTACCATCGCAGCTGGTATACGACGGCCTTGGAGACGGAGCTGATACCGTGCGTGTGTGCCATTGCCTCTGCTTCCAATCTGCTTCCGTTCCAGGGGCTCGGCTCACACTCTGCACTACCATCTAGCTCGAATCCATCTGGCACGCGCATGCAGCAATACAAATACCCAGTACTACCGGAGATTCTGGTCCACCTCGCGCGGATGCTCCGCGTACGCTGCCCGGCGTGCTCTCCCATGAATTTCACCGCGCCAGCATTGATCGCTGTGGCATTCCTGCGTCCGCCCTTCCGCGTCAGCACTGCATACAGCCGTGACGTCGCGTTCGTTCCCCGAACCGCCGGCCTATATCGTCCTGCATTCCATGGTCCGTCTCCTGGCCCTCCGTCGTTCTAGTTCCCGCACGGCCGCCGTCTTCCGTGTTCGTGGTCCTGTTCCTCTCACTTTTCGCTACATGCGTCCGTCTTCCCGTCCTGCTCTCATCTCCTTTGTCCATTCTCGTTATCATTTTTCCCCTACCCATCCCATCAATTCCCGCCTCTCGCCACCATTGCGCGCCTAAGTGGCCTTCCATTCCGTCCATGCTGCTCGCTGTCCGCGTTGGATACATGCGCGTCTCTACTTGATTCGACTCCCATCCACCTCTCCGTCTGCCTTGACATTGCTCGCGCATGTACTGGGCTATTTTCCAGCAGTCTGCTCCTCCTTCTGCTCCGTATCCCGTGCCGTCGTTTTGCCTGCGCCCCATTTATTCTGCCTCAGTGCGGCCCATTCGTCCTTCCCTTCGAACAACCCTTTCTCTGTGCTATCCATGCCCTTCGGTTATCCCTGCTTAAATCTCCGAACTCCACTCCGTCGTGCTCCACTCCTCCCGTGAACACTTTCCTCGCCTCGCCCACGTCCTGCCTTTCACACCACCAGCTATCCGTCCACTCTGATATTTATCCTTTCGTCTTCCGTGCGGTGCGGCACTGCTCGGAGGAAAGTTTAACGGGTGGAGTAATTCGCTAAATAATGCCGGTGTCAATCTGAGAGCCGCGTTCTTCGTTTCACTGGCACGTCCATCGATTTTCCAGCCCAGAGCGCATACAAGTCGGGTAAAGTACGTGTTCAGAGCGCCTTCGAGGACCAGTGGTGGTCGTCCCGGTTCTATGAGTACGGAGAGGTCCAGCGGGAAGGCGGGGTTCGACTTCCCGCGGAGGCATACAGGGTCAATAACGACAGTAGTTACGAGTACTTATGTAATAAGGAATCATCTATTTAAACAAACTTCATATGAGAATTTGGACGACCTAAATTTTTCATTTGATCACCTCAACTTAGTTACTCATTTAGTGGCTGTGTTTGTAGTCTTTTTTATCGAGTTCAATATGATTTTTGTGATAAATTAGTGGCTGTACTATTTTTAGGTAATCGTGCAGTCACTCGTTCGAACCCTCCGTTGTGCATCCTTTTATTTTTCAAACTTTTTGAAACCTTTCGTCGCTATTTATCTGACATGGCTATCCTTCATAGCTAATGTATTTTGATGTGAGCTGAACTTCATTTGAAGCGCCACATGTTTTCTTTTGAACCTATATAATATTGGGGACAGGCACGGCGTTTGATCGATCCAGCAGGTTTGTCTTTGTTTGTCCTCCGCCAAAGTACAATTCTGGATGTTCCGTTGTGTAACACCCTGTACAGCAGCTGCAAGGCCTCACTTTGCTGACCGAAAATGATTATTTGATTGGGACCTATGTAGCCCCCCAAAAATATTGGCATACTGGACCGAATTGCGATATTTATTGTACACTATTCACCCATCCCCATGAAGCCTAGACCTGGAGTTGAGCAGCAGATGGAAATAAAATGCAATAAGATGCCAAATGTCTTATCATATGATTTTGGAAGCCTAAAGACCCAAAATTGGAACAATCTTTGAGCCTTCGCGTCTGGAATGGAGGACGCAACGGGTGCCGCACATGTCACGTGAGCTTTTACACCTTCAACCGGTTGTCACAAAAAAGTCTAAGGCTCTTTCAATTCAGCACGAATTCTTTAACTTCTGCAGCAAAGTCATACCTAAAATGGGCCCTCTACAACATTTTAGCAACGGCTTTTTGCTAATGGGTATACTTCTCACAGAACCGGGCCTGAATGCCAGTGCATGAAAAAAGCCTTAGCATTTGTGAAAATGGAACGCAGTGTTTCAGCGATGGCGGCCCCCACACATCATTATGAGGTCCGTAGGGTAAAAGAAATGGTTCCACACACATGCAATTCATCTTCAGTCCAGAAATTTCTAGTCTCTCGTAGACAGATGCTTTACCTTACGACGCTCGTACCTCACGTTAAAGTCTGTTGATTACTACAGGGGTCCGATCGAAGTGCACTCTTATTATGTAATTGCGGAGTTTGAATCTCACTGTTCAGATGCTCGACACCATTGTATTTTCCCTTATAGAGCTTCAAATAATCTGAGGTCCTCTAAACACACATTTATAGGCCCTTAGAGTCCTACAGAATTTTTTCTTTGATTTTTAGGCATCTCTCGTTGCTTTTGAGAAGGAGCGACGAAAATATCACATGAAAATCTCGACGACTCTGTGCAGCAGATTTAAGGACATATTTTGACATTCTGAACAGACAGAACCTCTTACACACATTAGACAACCTAGCCTATGCAAAAATCATATGAAATAACGCTTCCTGGATGAAGCTCATATCGCAACTCAAAATTCAAACTCGCAACTTTCTCCAAGCTGTAAACATTGATTTCCGCTCCACCACGTAAAAAGCCTAAGGCTTTTGCAAACATGGATGAATCCCTTAGGTCACCTATGGAAAATTATAGTGTATTGGATCCCTTACAAAAGTACCATGCCGAATTTTTCAAATACACTTTTCTCCCCGACTAATTGCGGAAACCTCCCTGAGGTTTGATTCTACTTCATATATTGGACAAAAATAAAAGTTCCGGTACGGTACTTCTATTCTAAGGCTAATTAATTCAAAGTTTCTCTTTGGTATATTACTCCAAAGTAACCAGGGAAAAAGCCTTAGGGTTTGCGAAATTGGAACCGACTGCTCCTGCCAACCAAACAGGAACAAAGCTGCCGGCTCGATCACGGCTGATGCCCGTCCCCATATATTATATAGATCTATGTACCAACTCCCATGCATCTGCCAGCAAGTAGAATGTGAATTACTCCACGGTCTCTCTGCCACTTGAGTGCTGTTATCTGTCAATAGTGTAGAAAGTTCCTAAATAATACTGTTGTTGTTGGTTATTCTCCTTGCACAATTGTTTACTGTGATCAAATTTATCTCAGCCTCAAGCAACGATGCATCAAAGATGTTTTCAAATTCTGATGGCACATCCTGGCAGTTCAAGTGCGGGCACTATTGTTGGCTATGTCTTTGCCAACATTCCCTCGGGAATCTGGAGGGCATGAGATTGATCCCTTCCATCTTCATTCTTTTATTCTTTCCACTCTGTCAGACTTTTTCCTAGTCTTTTTGCCCATGTAATTATCATCATTTCCTTTTTTTTTTTTTTTTTTGTTTTCTGGAGCTTTTGGGATAATGAAATTTAGTCTGCAGCTGCATTCCAAAAGTCATCCGCTGGGTTTACCAGATACCAGATAAATCCAGTTAATGCCAGGGAGAATTTCCTATATCTGAGTTCCTCCTTACATTATTTCTTTTGCTGAAGTCTTTTTAGTGTCCCACAGATGCCTGTTAAAGAGCTGGGATACAGAGTCAAGACCCTTCCACCTGTATCCTTATTATTTCATTGTGCTGTTCCCATGCATCTGAATTGCTACTGGCAAAATTCAGTGTTGGATGTGTGATTTCAAGATTGTTCTGTGAATCACCAATTCACCAGTTTTCAGCACTTTAACCCCTGAAATAACCTCATCATTTGAATATCACCCAGGTGTCCTGTGTGTTTATCAGACATCCCTTACTTCTGGGTAATTTTCAATTTGAACTATGAGTGGATCCAGTCGGACTTATTCAGATGATTGGTACTGCTTTGGTACATTGGATGTATTGATATACTGTGTAGAACTACATAAGTACGAAGTTTCCGCCGGGCCCTGCCACGGCCCCACACCCCAAGTATTGTTGTCTGTCGTTAGTATTGTTGTCTGTCGTTATTGACCCTTTTTGATTGACCCTTTTTGGACAGGCTCGTTCAAGCTATGTATATCAGAACGGGCGAAGTAATCCCATTTGGCTCTACAACTCTATCCCTGCTTCACATTTACCCGGCTGCACTGATCAATTCAAACCGCGCCTGACGTGCTTGCTGTTTTCGGAGGCAGCCATGTGCTGGTGAGCCGCCTTCTTCGTTTCACTGCACGTCCATCAATTTTCCTTTCCAGCCCAGAGCGCATACAAGCCGGGTACAGTACGTATTCAGAACGCCTTCGAGGACCAGTGGTGGTCGTCCCGGTTCTATAGTATGAGCCAAAAGATGTCCAGCGGGAAGGCGGGGTTCGACTCCCCGCGGAGGCATGTTGTTGTCGGGTCGTGTTTTTTGGGACAGGCGCGTTCAAGCTAGTTATATCAGGATTACGACAGTTCAAGAATCCAACCTCCAGTGCTGAGCGCGACAATACCACGGGTATTACCCAAGCGCCGCCTTCCATCCATCTCACGACTCGGATGAAATGAACTCAGAACTTAAACCGAGCGCAATAAATCCAGGATCCAATCGTTCGGTAGAACGCCTTCGCGGATCAGGGCGATTGTCCCGGTTCATTGCTGCTATTGCGTCTCGATTTAACGGGAAGCTGGGGTTCGACTCCCCGCGGAGGCATTGTTCTCAGTGACGAGCATGCTTTTTGTTCCCTTGGACTGCACAGGCAATCAACGGTCAGTTACGCGGTTGGAGGATTTGGAACTGTCCCAGAAGTCTTCGGGAGTTCCAACCCTGCCGCTGTGCTTCTTCCTCGACCGTTATATCTGCATGTCGCCGTGTCCTGTTTCATTACTTGTTCCGCTAAGCTCCTCTTTCAGCCTCCTCGCGCCTTCCTTCCACCTTTGGCGTCAGATCTACGCGGTCGACTCACATCTGCGCCCCCGTGGCTCTGCATTCTGGCAGCCCGTGCTTTCATTCCTTGCACTGCGCACAGCTCGTTCCTGCCCCCCTATATATTCTCGCGCTCCTTCCCTGCGTCAAAACCCCTGAATCCACCCTTCTGGGTTGTGCGCTTGGTATCGTCGTCTATGATATCCACACCGTCGCAGCTTCTCCTCATCCCTGTCCCGGCGGAGGTCTCCGTATTCCATCTCACCTCGATTACTGTTGCCATGTTAACTGTTGCACTGCCCTCTCCCTGTTTAGTTCTCGCGTCCAGCTTTTAACGTCGCCCTGTTGTATTCTTCCGCCTCTGGCCACCATATTTCCGATCCCGTCGCATCCATCCCTGCCTTCCTGCGGAACCTATTCCGGCGGGGACAGATGGCTCGTCATGCATCGAAGGGTGGTTGACGTGCATCTCCCTCTCAATCATTTGTATCCCTAACCCTAACTCGAATTCAAGAGGTGCATTGACAACCAAATTTACACGACTGAAGCCGGACAGCGAGTATCATCCTGAAGAATGGTTGATATCTATGTGCTGGTGGCACGAGCCGTATTATATCCCTTGCGATTCGTTTCACTAGCACTAGCACGACTTTGACGAAACAATCTTCCCCCGCAGAGCGACATGAATCCAAGTGCGCATACTTGCGTAGAACGCCTCCGGGGATCAGGGTGATCGTCTCGGTTATGTATTCCGACGGTTGCAGAAATAACGGGAAGAAGGGGTTCGACTCCCCGCGGCGGCATTATGGGTCCGAGTGAGTTTCTTTGTCTTTCTTTCGCCCGGATGACGTCATAGACATCGATCAGAATACAACGGGAAGATGGGGTTCGACTCCCCGCGGAGGCATGTGCTTTTGCGTGCATTTTTCCCCCCCTTTGATTTCGTTCGTTTGAGGCTAGGCACCTCGTGGTCCGTGCAGTGAATTTTGAACGGATGCCCCGGAGGTATGAAATTAGATGCCAACTTGCGTCAGCGTGAGGAGGATAATATATTCAGAGCAGGGGAAAACGTGTTCGAAGACCAGGGCTCCGATGTGAGGGTGATGGCATTTGACAACAGACATCTCGCCAGGGACCGAGCTGCGGACAAGGTGCAATAAATAGATGAGGGCGTATTGAGGCATTGATACCGGGTAGGAGGCCTTAGAGGATCAGTGGTGATCGTTCCGAATACATGGATAATCGACTTCCAGCGCGGAGGCGGGGCTCGACTCCCCGCGGAGGCATAATCGAGTGGGCCGTGATTTTTTTCTGCAGTGGTTGAATTTAGTGCGCAAGTCGCTCCATCGTCTCTGCATGTGAGATTGAACCTTCGCGCGCATTGTGGAATGGTAAATTGACGTGTCGGCCATTCGAGTCCTTAGTATAAGTAAGGAATCATGACTTATACGTACGTGGCCGCTGGGGGCGTGTACGTGGGGTGAGGATGATGGATGGTCCTTGGTGTACCGGAGGACTGTTATAAAGCCCGGAGGGAAGTCTGTGCGACAAGGGGAAAGTAGATCGTATTCAACTCTGAGCCTTCTCGTGCGGTAAATTCTAGAAATTCTGGAGCGATCTCCAACAGCTTTTGAATACAATAGGCTCACACCGGAGTCGTAGTGACAAATCAAAATAAAACTTGAAACAACCCAGCAATACACCGGCAACGTCCGAACCGCGTCTCCGCAGGACCCGTGATTTTATCTTTCGAGGTCGAATACAAATTTCGAGCGTTGCAAAAATTTTGTCCGAACTTTGGTGGAGGTCTGACCAAAATTTTCGTCCGAATTCTGCCTCTAGTAAGTCCTCAGTCAAAAATTTGTCCGAACTTTGCATCTGACATCAATTATTTTTAAAAAAATTCCAGAGTCCCCAAAAGCAGCGAAAAAAAATCAATATATTACTCCGGAACATCCTCTTCCTCTTCTAGATCTAAAATATTAACATTTGCCTTCCCCTTGCGCCGGATCGTGTTCAAACTTGCTACTGCTTTCGCCAGCACTTCCAGCTCCATGGAAAGCTCGTCAAAAATCTTCTGACCGCGCGGACCGATCTCCACGTGTTGCCGGAATTCCTTCACCATCTCCGGGACGCCTTCCTGGGGTAAAATGGAAAGGAAAGAATTGGCTGGCAGATGAGCAAACCGCAACGTCCCGAGAGCAGCATAGTTGCGATCGGTGCACTTGAACTGGCGTCGGTACAAGTGCTGGTGCAATTGTACTAGAATGTAGGACAATGAACCAAGATTTTCGCAGTCGGGGACCCACGCGTGCGCTCCCGCCTTTCCCCCGTTCTTGGAATACATGGTAATGACTGGCAAAAAAAAAAACATTAATTTTGTGATCCATGCCGCCGACCAATGGTCTTACCTCGCGCAAGGAGAATCTCAGATCCAACCATCACAAACCCATAGGCCCCGGTCCTCAATGGAGATGTCTTCCCAACACCAGCTTCTGCGACCCTCGAGACACACTTCACTTTACCAAAGATAATGCAACGTCGTTTGATCGCCTCTTTGGCACGTCCACTCGCAGAAATCTCCGCATTGGCTGCATTTCCAGTCTTCGGGACTGGAGCGGGAGCAGTGGCCGGACCAGAGTCCGTGCGCCAGCGCACCGTTCGGGCGAGGCCTGTGCTGGTGCCGAGCTGTTGATCCCTCCTGACGATCGCCTGCATTTTCTGTGCAAGGAGTTGCTTGTCGGTCAGGGGTTTTTCGACACCAGCTTTGTGGTTTTTGTAAGTTCCCGATGCCGTGTAAGTTCGGACTCCCATTCTCTCTTCGCGAGTTTGATGCTGGCGCCGGATTTCAACGAGTGGAGCGAGATCATGGCTAGATACGTCGATGAGAGGCTTGGAAGAAGGAGGGAGGACTGGCTGTTGTGAAACAGATGTATCTTTAGGAGTTGAAGGCACAAGGCCCTGCAGAAGCGCAACAAAGGCGACGGGCTGGGTGGACATTGCGTGTGCAATTTCAGCCTGGATTTCGGCAAATCGTTCGGGGTTGCTCTCTGGGAGATCGTCACTGAGGTACTTACGCGTGAGCACAAAGTAGACGAGAAGAAATCGAGACTTACATCTTTGCAAGCTCCTCCATAGAAAGTGCCACCGACGCCATAACACACGCGTCCAATTCAGCGTCACCTGCTCGGGAGATGTTGATGGTTGTCTTCAAACTATCCACCACCTGTTGGAGTTCTTCCGCCGCTGTCAACTCCGTCGTTTCAGAAACATCTGACTCCTCAGTCAGATAATGCTCTTCAAAATCGGGATCTGGCGACGGTTGGGTGATGAGTGCGGGTCCGGGGTCTGGAGCGCTAGAGATTTCGTTCGGATGAATCCCCAGAAGAGACCATAAACAGTTGTTCTCTTCTATAGAAATCTCATATGCTTCGGAGAGTTCAATGTCGGTGGGATACTGGCTCAAAAGTGCGAAGTCCACGTCATCCGCGGTGTAATAGGTATGTGAATACCCGGATCCTTGTTTCTTGAAGTCGCCAGCCTTCAGGACAGTGAGAACGGCAGCCTGCATTTTCGTGCGTAGTTTTGGAACGATGAGGATCGCCTCCTGGAGGGTAAAATCCTCCGAGACATCGCGCAAACCCGAGAACGAGTGCTCATTTGGTTCACTCGCATTGAGCCAAGGAAGGAGCGGGCATACATGTTTGCCTAGATGGTCCCGGTGGATGACGATTAGGCCGAGTATGCCATTCACAAGGATTTCGAAGATATCCAATGCCCCCTTGGAAATGCAGTGGCGGCCCTCGGAGTAGCCTGCCTTCTTCAAGTACATGCACCAAGTTTGAATGAAGAGACGTGTACGGATGGCGATCTTGGCGCGTTCGTGGTGACTCATCGTGCGGCTCTGCCAAGCATCGATTAAATCCCCAAAAACAAACAGATAAACGACCAGGCCGAGGTTTTTTATCGGATCTCCCGCTGCTTGTTGGAGGGTATCGGCAGAAGATAGTCGTGCTGCCGCGGGGTCGTCCATACGATTGTGATTTTTCCAGTCCCGCGCGTACATCGGAGAGTCAGGGTGCATCGCGAGCGTATACATCTGCTCGAAATACACCACGAAATTCCCCAAAATTATGCCCCACGCGCCGGATGCTGCGTTATTGCGGAAAGTCTTTCGGCCGTGCTTGGCATCCTGGAATACGACCCAAATATTACCGTCTAGATCCCAAAGCTCGACGATGATGTCCGGGTAAAGAGGGTCTGGATGTTTGATGCGAAATTCACATCTTTTGCTGGCGGGGGCAAGTCTACGTTGGCAATCACGCTCGACCGCGGCACCATCTCCTCCGCTAGAGGTGATGCGAAAGTCACGCGAGATCAGCCCTTTCATGACAAGGATTTGCCACTCGGCGAGCTGGGGGCCTTTGACTTTTGACTCGATAGGCATGATTGACAAGATGAGGGGTGGCACTCGAGGAAGCGG